CGGGACCGTGAAAGATACGAAGAGTGCTCCGGGCCAGCCGGATCGCGTCTTCATTAGCGGCTATTAATTGTCAAAATGTGCCACATAATTCAGCGCGTGCGAACCAGCCTGGCTGTATTTAAACTTAACGCGGTCAATTGATTCCCGAGGGGAGGGGGATCTGCCCTTAGGCCGCTCGATCCTTTCGTTGGATCCTTGTTTCGGTCGGCTGTGTTCGAAGATCGAGAGATTGCGGCGAGAAATGCATCGTGAAATGCGCCGTGATCGGTGGAAACGCGTTGCGACGCAGTGATAAGGGGATGATTGGGTTTTATAGAGGATTTAAAACGGATTAATGGAAGTTTCCGTTATATTCTATGGAACTTTATTACCGAACCCTTGGAGAAGCTCGATTACCCAGTACCACGGCTCATTTCGGACTAATAAATCCTCTTGTTCCCGGTGACACGATGCATTCGAATATTCATGCACACCAGTAATATTATCTTATAGCTCGTCTATAGAACCATTGTTTCAAAAGCACGCAGTTTCTACCCCAGCACTTATGCCGCCATTTTATAGAGTAATTCATTAACTTTTCAATGTAACCGAATTGCTACCGTAGCCGATGATCGCACGAAGATTACAAAATCAATCGAAGAAAACGCTTATTAACTTATAGCGGCCATTACACGGTTCCCAACTGCAGTCACTCGTTTCCACGAAGGATGCTTACACCAATCAGTCGATTTGTTCATTCACTATGAAAACTGCCAACCAAATAATGCATTCGCTATCAACATCCCTCGAGTCTCTAATTCTTTACAACGCACGAAGAACGATTCGCAGTGCAGCAGCATAGGCTTCCGTTCCCCGAGCAACAAACAAAAAGCTGTTTCTTTTTATCAAAGAACGCCGCGTGCTCATGACGTTGCCCCTCGACCTCCGACCCTTCCGGCCCCCCAAATACTGAAACGCGAAAGAAAGTCGGTTAGCCGCGGTTTTAATCGTCGCCGGCCGTCATGAATTCCTCCAGATTCCTTCCTTCCTTCCTCCGTCAAAATTTCATTCGTCCGCGGCCGGTCCCGCGAGCGATAAGCACCCTTTGACCTTTCGGTTAAGTTATTACTTTTATCCTGGCGCGGGTCACGGGCCGCATAAAGCCTCGTTGAGCATTGAATCGACTCTATCAGGCCAATTAAGCCGCGTGCCAACTCCGTGAACAATCGCGACCGGCTCCAACCCCCTTGCCTCCACCGTTGCGCCGCCGCTTTTTTTCCTCGCGCCCGCCGCAACCCCCTTCGCCGCGGCACCGTTCGTTCCTCGCGTGAGATACCGAACTAAAAGAGACCCAGAGTCTCGGCTCGTGAATTACCGCGAGGAA